CCCCAAACCCCAAAATTTCTTAAAAATCCAAAAATTTTCCCCAAAATTCCCCTCAGAAAACCCCAAAAATTCCCTCAAAACACCAAAAAAACCCCAAATTTCCCTTAAAAATCCCAATTTTTCCCCCCAAAATTCCCAAATTTCTCCTCAAAAATTCCCAAATTTCCCCCATTTTTATCCCCAAACCCCAAAATTCCCACAAAAATCCCAAAATTTTCCCAAAATTCCCATTTTTTCCCAAAACTCCCCTCGAAAAACCCCAAAATCTCTACAAAGCACACCAAAAAAACCCCAAATTTCCCTCCAAAATCCCAATTTTCCCTTCCAAAAATCCAATATTTTTTCCCCAAAATTACCAATTTTCGTCCCCAAACCCCAAAAATCCAAAATTTTCCCAAAAAAACGCAAAATTCCCTCAAATTCTCCTCAGAAAACCCCAAGTTTTCCCCCAAAATCCCAATTTTTTCCCTCAAATTTCCGGAATTTTTCCCCCAAAACCCCAAATTTTTCTGCAAATTTTCCAAAATTCCCCCCAAATTCCCCAAATTTTCCTGAAATTCCAAAAAAAATCCCAAAATTTTCCCAAAATTTCCCATTTTTCCCCATTTTTCCCCATTTTTTCCTCACCCTCCTTCAGCCGCCTCAGGATTCCCGCCTTTCCCCGGGCGGGGGCGGGGCCGGTGGGCGGGGCCGGGGGCGGAGTCGGGGGCGGGGCCACGCCCAGTTTGGCGCGGAGGGCGGGGACTCGGAGCAGCCCGGTCTGCAATAGGCTGAAGCTGTTCGACGTCAGCCAATAGGTGAACACCGCCTGCAAAAGGGGCGGGGCTTAGCGCGGGGAAAGCCACGCCCCCTTTTAAAGCGATCCCCACCCATTTTTCACGATTTAAAGCGACAGTGACCAATTTTAAACCTGGCCACGCCCCTTTTTCACAAACCACGCCCCTTTTAAAGTGACCACACCCCTTTTTCATCAAACCCCGCCCCTTTTTAAAGCAATAGTGACCTATTTTAAACATGGCCACGCCCCTTTTTCAGGAACCACGCCCCACAAAAGTGACCACACCCCTTTTTAAAGTGACAGCACCTCATTTAAATCTGGCCACGCCCCTTTTTCACAAACCACACCCCTTTTAAAGCGACCACGCCCCCTTTTTAAAGCGACAGTGACCAATTTTAAACTGACCACGCCCCTTTTCCACAAACCCCGCCCCCTTTTAACAAAGCCCACCTCTTTTAAAGTGACCACGCCCCTTTTTAAAGTGACCACACCCCCTTTCTGTTACCACGCCCCCTTTTAAAGTGACCATGCCCCTTTTAAAAACAACTGACAAATTTTAAACATAGCCACGCCCCTTTTCACAAACCCCGCCCCCTTTTAAAGCAGCAGTGCCGATTTAAAACTGACCACGCCCCCTTAAGTGACCACGCCCCTTTTTAAAGTGACAGTACCTCATTTAAACATGGCCACGCCCCTTTTTCACAAGCCACACCCCTTTAAAAGTGACAGAAGCTCATTTAAATATGTCCCCGCCCCTTTTTAAAGAATCAGTGACCATTTTTAAACTGACCACGCCCCTTTTTCATCAACCCCCGCCCCCTTTTAAAGTGACAGTAACCAATTTTGAACTGACCACGCCCCTTTTAGCATCCCACACCCCCTTAAAGTGACCACGCCCCCTTTTAAAGTGACAGTACTTATTTAAACCTGGCCACGCCCTTTTTTTACAAACTACGCCCCTTTAAAGTGACCACGCCCCCTTTAAAAGCAACAGAGCCTCATTTAAACCTGGCCATGCCCCTTTTCCACAAACCACGCCCCTTTTAAAGTGACCACACCCCCTTAAAGTGACCACTACCCCTTTTAAAGTGACAGGAGCTCATTTAAATATGGCCACACCCATTTGTAAAGTGACCCCGCCCCACTTTAGTGACCACGCCCCTTTTTTAAAGAAACAGAGACTAAATTTCAACTGACCACGCCCCCTTAAAGTGACCACGCCCCCTTTTTAAAGTGACAGTACTTCATTTAAACCTGGCCACGCCCCTTTTCTCAAACCCCGCCCCTTTTTAAAGCGACAGTGACCAATTTTAAACTGACCACGCCCCTTTCTCACAACCCACGCCCCTTTTTAAAGCGACAGTGACCTTTTTAACTGACCACGCCCCTTTTCACAAACCACGCCCCTTAAAGTGACCACACCCTTTTAAAGTGACCACACCCCACTTTAAAGCGACCACACCCATTTTTAAAGAAACAGAGACCAACTTTTAACTGACCACGCCCCCTTAAAGTGACCACGCCTCTTTTTAAAGCAACAGCACCTCATTTAAACATGACCACGCCCCCTTTTCCCACAAACCCCACCCCTTTTTGAAATCCCACCCACTTTTTAAAGCCCCGCCCCTTGTTTTAGCCCCGCCCCCGACTCACGGTGGGGAAGTGGAAGATGAAGGGCAGGAACACGAGTGGGAGGAGCCTCAGGATTTGCCGCACAGGCCCCGCCCCCGGCGCGGCCACGCCCGTCTCCGCCCCCAGCTGTGGGCGGGGAAATGCAAATTAGTGCCGGACCTCATTTGCATAGGAAAACCACGCCCCCTTTAGGCAAAACACCACAAAATCTCCATTTTTTAACCCAAAATTCCCTTTTTAATCCAAAAATCTCCATTTTTTTACCCAAATTTCAATTGTTTGCCCAAATTTTACATTTTTTACCCAAAATTTCCCAATTTTTTACCCCAAATTTCCCATTTTTCCCCTTTTTACCAAAAATTCCCATTTTTTACCCCAAATTTCCAATTTTTTCTCAAAAAAATTCCATTTTTCCTCTAAATTCCCAACGTCTAACCCAAAATTTCCCATTTTTGACCAAAAATCCCATTTTTTACCCCAAATTCCTGATTTTTTCCCAACTTTTAGAAAAAATTCCCATTTTTACC